TCATATGAAAAAGCCTAAATATTCGAAGGAAAGAAAGATGTCGCTAGTCACCAGGGGCACCAGCGCCCTCGTCTCCTCTCTGAATACCCCTCCCATCGGTGTCTTAGTCAAGTGAAAAATTGTCTAACTGAAGTGAAAAACACTAAGTATCCGACCAGAGAGCCGCCGGGCTTCCACCTGCTCCGGAAATTATGGACTACGCTGAACCGAATCCGCACAACGCACGCCAGGACCGGTCACCATCTGTACAAATGACAGTACAAAGGCAATCCTGCCTGCGACTGTGGACATCCCGACCAGACCGTGGAACACACGGTGAACCACTGTGAAACCCAAAAATTCGACGGAGGAATCGCAACGCTAAACGAACTGGAAAAAAGATTCCGCAACCTGGCTCTAAATCTATTGTTTTCTGATGCCATACGCAAGAAGAAAAAGTGCGCCTAACATGTTAAGGGGGTCCCACTGAAACAGGTGAAGTTTAAGGTCTGGTTATCGAGTGATGGGAGATACGGAAACGAGAACGACGGTACAGGGCTTCCGCACATTTACGGAAACTGAAGACTGTGGCCGCGAAGGAAGCGACACTTACGGTTAAGAGCGTTTACTTCCCAGCCCTCAACTATGGTCACAAGTGTGTGGTAATGGCCGAAAGAATCAGGTCACGAATGCAAGCTGCCGAAATGAGGTTCTCGCTACGGGTGGCAGGTGTTATGCGCGTGAGAGGATGCGGAGAGCCATCTTAAATTACCTTTCCCACAACTAGGCAGGGATTGCCCAGCTTCTTCATACAAATTAAAATGACTGGATATCATAACTGACTGGAACTCACCTACTAGAGCTACCTATTAAAAAGTGAGGAATATATATATATATATATGAGAAGAATATCCCTTCGGGATAACTTCATCAGGACAACAATATAAATATATATATATATATATATATATAAACTCAGGCTTTTTTATGTAGGGGCACACCTTACTGGTAATGAGTAATTTCTTGAGAGAGAATTTAATGATCAAAGACATCATAAATGAAAAAAAAAAATTATACAGATGTATAATACAAGTAACGAACTTCCATTTTTGCTGGATCACTAAATTTTAGGAGAATATATAAAGATACTGAAATTCATCAAATGTTCTTGTTAATGAGGTTGTACTGAACAGTCACTTTTCACAAAATATTATTCATCTAAAATCTACCTGGTTCCAAGCTCCCTGTCTTCACCTCCCCCCCTTCATTGCCTTCTCTTATGCTACACCATGTGCCTGCAACATGACTATATGACTATTGGTTTTGTGTCAGTCTCTGATACAATTTATCTGCTTTCCTGGAACTTTTTTATTTTTCCCATGAGCATTTTTCATTTTGTTTCCCCTCATGTCATTTCTAGATTTTGGTGTGACTTTACCTTATTGTTTGATATGCTATTAACATGAAATATGACTCTCTTTTTGGCATTTAAATTACCTAATAAGAAATACATTCATATTTTAGATGTTGGCTTTTCTATGGACTACTAAGAGGAACAGGTTTATTTTTATTAGGTCATGCATCACTAGCCCCCTTTTAGTATGTTTATATGGATCCCAGCCTCACACAGTATGGTAGTTAGGTACATGATATTAAACATAAGCCAAAGGCATAGACCACACCTGTGACAAGAAGAATTAGCTTTCTCTGAGTGACAAAAGGGGAGGAGCGAAGTGATGATGTAATGAACCACAGCCTCACATTAGATCTTAGTTACACATCATATCCTGGCTTAGGTCTAGGTTACCTGTCATGCCCATGCCTATGCCTAAGCTAAGCTATATACCTACGATTTTTGGCCTAGGCCTATTTTCAAGTGAGGATTATTTCTTTCTGTATCCAAAACTAAGTTTTAGCCATATGAGCTTCATCTGAGTATGCTGCCATAAGGCATTATATATAGTACGTTAGCAGAGTCGCATATTACATCCACAGATTCCTAAATTAACGCGCGACTGCTAAATTAACTGCTATGTCAAGAAAATAAAGTCGTTGATAGTGCTAAATAGCATGAATCTACCATGGCTAAAAATAAATATGGACTAGTGTTTTTCACTTCAGTTATACACTTTTTCACTCCACTTCGACACTCATGCATGAGGAACGTCCCATGCACGTGTGTCTGAGTCAAATGAAAAATTGTCTAACTCAAGTGAAAAACACTAGAACAAAATCCTCACTCAACGATATATCTAACGTCTTAAGCCTACCGGAAGGCTAACGTCACGAAAACCTGAATTGAAAAACCCACCTGGCTTCTCTGGTGAATCGTGTCAGGATAGAAGGGCAGCACTTGTGGGCGATGGCCCTAGCAAATGCAATGCCGACGGGAGGGCCTAATTGAGGAGGGAATTGAGGCCCGAAAGAAGACGTGGGCGATGTGGAGGCGGCCATGATGCCACTCGGCCCAGGTTGAAACGAAACCCCAAACAGAAGAGATTCATCTGGGGAATAGGACGGGGAACCCCGTGCTCCTCTTCTCCTCTTGTTTTCTTTCTCTTCTTGTGAGAGAGCTCCCGAGGAGAAAGATCGAGTAATTCCATCGTCACGTTTCAAGACATTCGATATTGAATCATTTCCTTCGTGTAGAGATTGCACTGACCCATACATCCCTCCGTTTGACATCCTCTCTTCCCCGGGCACCTGAACATGTTCCCAAAATAATAATTCCTCTGCATTATAATTACTCTTGTCCCTTGGTTGGAAGATGAAATCACATTGAGGAAACGTTAGAGGTTACCGAATCGAAGCGCAAAAACCTTGGTCGTTGGGCATATCTCCTTATGCGTCGGAACAAAAACCGTCTCATGATGCAATACAAACAAGAAAGCTCGAGGTGTGTACAAGTGTATTACTCACAAGGCAATACAAGCCCACTTCGTAGCACCAAGCTAGCACTGACACTCTGACTCGAAGTATGAAAATCATGGGAATAAAGAGGACTTACTTTCATGAAGATGAATCGTTAAATTCATGCCGAACGGGAGAGAAGGTGACCTCCATGATGAGAGTGAAGCTTTTTTCCCCTTTTCTTTTCTTTGGATCTTCTACATTTCTGTCTGCAAAATTTATAAACTGACAGATGAACTACTGAGAATGGATCAAAGTCATATCCGTTCCACATCGCCTCGTGACTGGGCAAAGGTAACGGCAATGACTCGACGGAATCGATCTTATCATAAGAGGTTCTCGTGCGCACGTCTTATCAAACAAACGAAGAGGAAAATAAAGTACTGCGACCCTGTGTCCCTGAAAACGCTGAACGCCGTAGCTCGGTTTCCATAAAATCCTGCCGCTTGCATGCGCCATGCATGTGTTGAAAACGTCCGATCACACGGGTCAGTGAAGTGGGTTCCACGACAAAAACTTCGGCACCAGAACATCGAAACGACTAAACATCGACCGAGGGCTCCAGAGGTAGTTGTTCAGATCAAAGTGACTCTACCAAAGATAACAACACTGTTGAAACCGCCGCAAGGAAGTGTCAACAGTATTACGAGACTATCATACCCTCGTAAATACGTTTGTCGGTGGTGTAGCAGCCCATGCAGAAGAAGCTTTTATCAACTACTCGGCAGAAAGGGGGGAGGAGTCGTGTTGTACGCTAAAACCGAACTGGGCGTTCGCGTCAGAGAAGATCTCACTTCGGCTAACTGTGGAGCAATCGAACACTTATGGTGCGAGATCGGTGGGGCAACTGGAAAGATCGTGATAGGAATTTGCTATAGGCCCCCTAACTCTTCTCTCGAGGATGAAGCAGC